ATCAAGGGAAAATTATCTAGAGTACCACTTTTAAAAAAATTATTTTTCCAATCTACCACAATTCAAAATTTCTTTCCTTCAATACCACAACCCCATGGCGAAAAAACTATTTTGGACCAGAATATTCACGGTGGTTGGTGGACGAAAACGAAGACGGTTGCAAAAGGTGGTGTACATAGACGGTGATGTATAGAGACATTGACGGTGGTTGTGGACAAAAATAACGACGACTAGTGATGCACAAAAAGTAGTCAAAACATAGATGGTAGTAGACAAAACAGAGATAATGGTAGACAATAACAAAGTTTTGATAAATTAGAAATAAGGACATAACTGTCTTTCTCTTTTCAATGTACAATGTTTTATGGTAGATTTTAAAAGACTTTTGCAATTGTGGTCGATTGTAAGATATTTTTGAATAAGTGGTAGAGTAGATAATTTTCCCTTTAATCAAACTATATTTAAAATATTTATAATTAAACTATATTCCAAACAGAGTCGAAAGAAGTAAACCACCAAAGAAGGCATCAAGAAGAAGAAGGGTAGCAGAGGAGACACATATATTTATAGAAATCGGGACGAATTCTTAGAAAAAGGGGAGAATGTAATACCCCTGAACATGACGTAGAATGCGGCCAACAAACCAAGTTGCTGTCTAAGAGAAAACAAGCTTTGGTAAGCTAAATCAATTAAAAGAAAAAAGATAAGGGCTTGAGACAGAACCAAAAAGACACGAGTAAAACTCGAGATAATTCAAAATAAAGATCAACGATTCAAGTTCCTTAAACCAAGACTCGGGGAATAGAAGGAGAAGAAGTCCACAAGATTAAGGAGTAAAACATATGATTTTGCATCAAAGAAAAACTCAAAGACATCGAGTGAATTCTAAGATAACTCAAAGGAACTATATCGAATCGTGCCGCGGCTCAACGGACCACTCAGCACAAGTGATTCAGATCGGATCAAGGGTCACAACAACAAGGGAAAACACTTAGGCAAGGCTTATGAACTATTTGGCTAAGTTCCTAAAATCTTGGAGAAGGCAGGCCAGAATAGTGATCGGACCAGTCACCGGCGAACATGTGGTGGTCAACCACCACGCATGTAGTCCATGCGCCACCGCTGACAAAGCTTCAGAAATTACGAAACGCTTGGGAAGGCTTTGGCTATTAGGGTCTAAATAATAACAGCGGAATCTGGCTGAATCGCAGAATCTGGTTGAATTTTTGATGATTTTTTGTAGCATCTGGGAGAATAACTGTGAATACAAATAGTAACAGCTGAATTTGGTAGAATGTGGCTGAATTATTGAAAATAAATTAATTAGTGAAACTTATGAAAATATTTATTAAACATTGTTTTCAAAATTAAATATATTTTTATAAATGTATTAGTTTTTAGAAAATAATATATTTTATTAAATTATTTTTGTTAAATTAAAACTTATGTCATCAATAGTTTCATCTTTTATTTTTGTTTACCAAAATTAATAATTGTTTTTTTTATTTATCGCTCTAAATAATGAGTAAATATTTCTAACATATTTGAAAAATAGAAAAATGTAATTTATCGGCAATTCAGATTTGTTGAATTTTAATTTACCATCAAAGTTTATTATATACACAGATATGTAATTCAAAACAGTTCAATAAGAAGCCAATTACCAGAAGTTATTTGATATTAATATCATTTAAAGACATTTCAAATGTTTAAAACGAGAAATGACGTGAAAATAGTACAAAAAAAAGAAAGAGAGAGTAAATCAGTGGGTCATAGTAAACAACTAAGTAAATACTATTGTTAATATATATTCAGCAATTCTGCTGATTTTGTCTTTTTCAAGTTTTACTTCCACATTCTTTTATGTCAAATGGTGTCTAAATTTTTTTTTCTACTGAATTCTTCCCAGTTATGCTAGTAGTATGTTACCAGTTAGTGCCTAAGTCTTAGGAGTGTGCTCATGAACGATTCCAAGAATTTTGGAAATTTTCTAAACTCCGACAAGATTTTTACTCGGTATCGGAACAATCGACAGTTCATGATCAAGTTATCGCACATAAGAAAGTGGTGTCAGGCTAGGCTTTGGATCAGATCATGTCACAAACTAGGAGACGAAAAATGACAAGGAAAATATTTGCATGCTTCGTGGTTGACTCAGAAGATACATAGAATCTTACCGATGTGACATAAGAGAGATTTGGATGTTTTTGGCCTTGGTTCCATGAATGAATCAAGCCAAAAGACATGAGAATCCTTGCATGAATTCTCATTGGCGTGAAGGGTTGGTGGAGGAGCCAAAACATCCCATTATGTCTCTTGATTGACGGCTGACCAACCGGTGAAGAAAAAAGGGCGAGCATGCATTGGCCACGGCGACACTTGTGACATTTTGGTTCCGGCCAACCGCTGAGCGAGAGATGGTGAAGAAGAAAGCTTGGAGGCTAAGTCTTGGTTTCGCACATCATTCCCTATAAATAGGACCTTTTTGTTAGTATATTAGCATAAGTTTTCTCTCTATTCTATCGTGAGTGAGAGTTGGCCATTTTCTGAGTGATTCCGCTTGTCTATAAGCGTGAATCTAATGTTTTGACTAAAAGATTTTGAGAGTTTAGGCTACCTATTTAGAAAAAAGCTAAGTAAGAAAGGCGATAGGGTCGGAATTAGGAAGGTTCAAGGGTAACGTTCTCGGTAACTTTATTTTCGTTGGTTTTACTTGAGATTTTTTGATGGTTTTGACTAAGCCTAGGCTTAACTTAGTCTCAAGTGACGCGGAGTCCATGAGCTAAGTTTTCGAGGAGTCTAGACCGGATACACAAAATCTGTGAATTCTGGCACAAGTAGTGATGCGTCGATCACCCACATATTTTTATCCATTTATGGGTAGATAGTAGATTGTTGCTTGCTAACGCGTTGTGTTGAAGGAATTCTAGCATGCATGAACATCTTGGTTATTCTGCATGATCTAACGTGTTTGGTGTAGCTGATATCTAACATGTAGTGTGGATGGTCAAGGCGTGACCATCTTGCATGGTTTTTCAATGATTCTATGATTATGCATAATTGATGGGTTTATCTTATGGTTTATTCACTTTTACTTGTGTTCAATGCTTGACTTGGAGTAGTTAACTAGTGATTAATACAAGGAGAATGGAATCTCAAAAGTGGTGCATCTATTTCCATGAACAAGTATTTGGTGAGAAACACGTCATAAACCTTCAAAAATTGAGTTACGGAGCATTGTGAACAATTGAGTCTTGAGTGAATTCATGCATTTTTTAATCTTGTAATAACCAGCGAAAGTTGAGTCTATCAGATTGTTAAAGTATAGTAATGGGATCCACATAAGTGGAATAATTATCATCAGCGGTTTGAATTCTAAAACAATTTTTATCAAATACCTAATCGATATATATATTATGTTTCCGTCAATGTAGGGTTTTCCATAAATTTGCATCGTACAAATATTTGTAGCTAATATCTGAAAGTCACTTACATAAAAAAATTTGGACCGTGCTGAGAACTAATTTATTATGTACGAAATTGTGAAAGAATATATTCTAAAATTTCTTTTCTTTAATTTATTGATGAATTTGTTTTTTTTTTCTCTTATGTTTCAGAAATTCATCAATGGAACACTACAATTCATTATATCAGTTGCAAATACATACAACCCTTTTGTATCAATTTTGTAATTATTATTATTTCAAAAAAAAAAACAAGTAGCCTTTAATGAGGTGATGCGTAATCTCGAAGAACAAAGGTCTCAAATTTTGGGATTAGCGAAGAGAGAGTGAGTTTACAAGGTAGAACTCAGTAATTATCACTGGGATAAAGTGCGTTTGGAATAGTTCCTCACAAAACCAAAGAGAAGATAAGAATCACTATTTATGGTGATGGTGACAAACAGTGATGATGATTGACGGTGGTGGTGGACAGTAACAATATACAAACAATTCTTCATCTTGACGCCAACGATGATCATCCCCTAACCCACGTCGTTTCCGATTTTACAACAAACTCGGTTTCGTAACTCCGCAATGAGTCGACTTAGTGAGTTAACTCGGTGCTGAATTGACATCGACTAATTGAGTTAACTCATTACCATTAAAAAATGTTCTCCGCTATTATATATGTTAAACATTTAAAAATAAATTTAGAAAACTAATTCGAAATGTAAAATACTAATGTACAACAAGAAAATTATCTAGTGAGTCTGACTAGAGAAGATGATGACCCACTGCCGAAATCATGAATCTCGCCGACAAATCCAATCACGGTGAACCCTGCGTCTAATATTTGTCCTTATGGGATGAAATTGGAAAACTAATTTATTATCGGCTATAACAAATCTTAGATGTTTAACATTGAGTTTTGTTAGATATGTTGAATGTGTCTAATCATTAAACATCCATTAATACATATTAGCGATAAAGAATATGCTATTTTATATGTTGATGGTTTAACAACGGATTTAGAAGACTAGTTCTAAATTCAAAGATAATCATACTAATATGGTTATATCTTTGATAGCTTCTGCAAAGTAATTATGTTGTGACCAATTTAGACACGATCCATTGTTAACAAAATAACATTTTTTATTAAGTAATACATGCGTTCAATCATTAAACATCTCAAAATCCACTATTGTATATGTTAGCACTATAAGACAAATTCCAAATATCAAAAATACAAAAAAAAACTTAGCAACTAATAAATCCACTAACTGAGTCCACTCAAACTTAACTTACTGAGTCAACTCACTAAGTCAAATCAAACCTAGTTAGCGATAAAACCAAATCTTCATAATGAAAAAACTGAAACAATTTTTTTTTAAAACACATATTCCCCGGAAAATCAATAGAATTAGCAGTTGTTGTTAAAAAGGATGGTGGAAGCAGGGGCGGAGGAAGAGGAGGATGTAACTTCGGTGGAATAGGACGTAGTTTTGATGGAAGAGGAGAATGCAACATTAGTAGAGAAAGATGAGGTGGTGAACGAGCTTATTCAGAGCTCTTCCACCGCAAAATCACTAGATGGTGCTGATTTTACATTGCATATGATTTCTTCATAGCTTCGGATGGAAAAGAAAAAAAAAAGTATGAAGAAGAAAGAGTTAGCTAGTAAATAAAACATATAAACGTTGTATTGTATGCATAGATAAATATGTATTGGTTGGAAAATATTGGAGAGAGAATACGAGGGACAAAACCGTAATCTTTTTGCACACATCTACAACAAAACAATTTTAAATAAAATTTTGTACGTCTACCTTATTATAGTAATCGGTGTATTGGGTCAGTCTTCTGTATTATAAGTTAACTAATATTACCGACTGTCGCCCAGCGGTTAGGAACCAGGTTTGACTCCCAAAAATTAACAAATTTTCAACATCCGTATTAGGACTTTGTAATCCAACGTTGTAACATTCTATGATGTTGTCGAACCTAACAACTCGACTTGTTTTCTCATGCTCCGAATAATCTAGGACGAAAGAAATAGAGTGCCGAAAGAAGAGGAGAACAATGATTAGGATTAACACAATGTTGGTGGTGTACACAGATATTTCTCTCTATTGGTTCAGCAAATAATGTTCTTAAAACAGTAATTAGCAATTATGAACCATGCGATGAGCAGTAGCGAGAATGAGAGGAGGCCGATCAGGAATGGCCACCCGACCAGTGATACCCCCAAAGACGTGACCAAAGCACTTGGCAGAAATGACCGGACTGCTGATGACAAGCTGACCCATTTCCCTTTTGCCAAAATCAGAAAAGCAACATTCACCATCTTCCATTCCATTGAGCCGCCATAGCAAAGACGGTTCAAACAGTTTGCAACATACGAATGGCAGTTACAGGTGAAGAGGTTGTAGGTACAATGCTCAAAGCTGCGTGCGCTCGAGCTCAGTGCATCATCCCATGTAAGCGATGCTCCAAACTCGGTGTGTTTGAATCCATACTTGCAAGTGTGCCCACCCATGTTTGGCGGCATGCAACACTGCAACAAAAGACACATTTGCTACAGCGAACATGGGTCAAGAGAAACAAAGGTCATATCTTTGATACAGAACGGATGCGAAACATAAAAAGGAAAACAATTTATTTAGTCAAAGTTTCATCAAACCATCAATGTTTGTTTAGCCAGATTCTAATGAATAGAGAAGCAGATACAGATACCTTGGTTCTATCGAGTTGGAGATACCGAGCAGGAGGACCAAATGCAAAATCATTGACATTGACGAAATTAGATCCAGCGAAGTCCAAAATCACTCCATCTTCTCTGCAAAGCCCTACATGGCCAATGAAGGGAGCCAACCAAGAGACAACAGGGAGAGGTGTCCAGACTAAACAGCAGGGGAATTTCGCCTTTTTGGTATCAATGTCACATAGCGGCCATAGGTCATGATGATCGTCGTCCGCAGAGCCCGCTTCTTCAATATCATAAACTCGTTTCAGGTCCGCCAAAGGAACTCTTCCACGGGACATTTCACTGTTATAACAACACAGGAGCAAGTCTCAAAATCAGCTTCAAGTAACAAACAAAATATTCAGCTAAGCAAAATGAAACCCACAACACTAGAATGATTCCAAGTAGCCAGCCTCTAGATGAACAGTTGAGAAAGAAGCATGAGGTGGTTTCATTCAGATTTTCCAATTTTCAATATATCTACAGAAACTAAACAAAACCCATAAAGTTCAAGCCTTTCCCTACCAAAACCAACCCAAGATCTAAACTACAAAAACAAAATTATACGAAAAGCTCGAAATCTGAAGAAGAAACAAGGAAAATCGACAGTCTTTCGATTCACCTCTCAAAGACGCCGACGCCTAAAGGATCGACGCGGAGAAACAAAATCGCCGAGAGCTT